TCATATCTGTTTGTATTTAGTTTATTTGCTGCTCAAATCATCTGCCAGTTTTTATAAACTCTCTATACTAAAAATAAAATATGGGAAAAAAATGTAATATTCTCAGAATGATTGATTGACAGGTTGATCTATATTTTTTTTTTGTCATCTCTTCGCTTCTCTCTACATAATTTTCTCTTTCTTTTATTCTTCCAATAAACTCTTCTTTTTTTTTCATGTATAACTCAGAATGGATTATTAGCTGAGTTGTCCTAACTTTATAATTGGAAACAAATGTAGCAGTCTTGGCACAGATATGCACAAAGTTTTCTCCCAGCATTTATTGCAGACTACTATTTCTGATCAATAGTCTTTGTCGTTGACACTGCAACAGACAAGGCTATTTTCAATGTTCAGAATCAGTAAGTCAAAGAGAAGAATAGGTAGGAATGTCTGAGGTAGTTTTTGTTATCTTGTTTCTCAAGCAATTCTAACACATTATGAATCTAACTCCAAAAACACTTTAACAAAAATTTGAAATGATTTTAATATTTGGATGATTATTTTTATCATCCTTTGTTTTAAAGTGTTTACTCTCAGTAGTTGTTGAATCTTTAAGAGCATCATTTTCTTCTTTTTAAAATCAATTCACTCCAAGGGAGGCAATAATGCCACTAATATGTAAGGGGCTCCTGAAAGTGAAATAGTATGAAAAGATTTTAGAAAGAACCAGAAACCCTATCCTAAACAGAGAACAAGGGATAAACCTATACTCCTGCTCCAAACACAACAAATTGTGTGAAGTGTTGCATAGGATCTTGAACTGACGTTCTGGATTTTTCTAAGATTTGTATATGTTCCATCCAGTCGTCTTTCAAGACGAGCAGATAATGTCCAAGTTTCTGGTGGCATTACTGGAATCCTGTCTCACTAAATGATGAATGTCTGTAAATTAGTAGATTAGTAATTAGTAGAAGGTATTTCCCAAAAGGTAACTTTTCTTTGTTCTGGGATGGTTTCACAGTGGAGGCTTGTATTTGTAGTCAGTCGGTCCTAAAATAGGTTCGACGTACAAAACGTTAGGAACTTGATATAATAAGTAATGACAGAGAGTAATCTAGTTGCAGTCGCTGATACTTTAGTATCCGACTAATGGTTGTCCGGCATCGACTGACTGACCCACTGAGTGACTGACTCATTACTCTTACTACTCCTACTTATTATAGGTGGGAGAGTCTATTGACTATAGATTAGTGTTTCACTATACCTTTTTTTTAAAAATCAGGCTGTATTGTTTGACACCATCTCAAAATCTGATATTACAGTTATGCCTGGTTTAGATATCAAATTTTAAGATATTTTATTCGTTTACTAGAAATGTCACCTTAGGGTAATGTTACAAGTAGATATATCCATTTTCAGGTTTGAAACTAAACTACTGAACTTATTGATTGTTCTTGTTAATTTATTTCCATCTCAAATTTAACTAATATATTTTAATTAATCTTTCTCTGACACACTATAGACTGAAAAAGTAATTTAAACAATTTATAAATTTGTATAAATGTAAATTTTTTTTTTCACATGTTTGATTGGGTTTGGATTTTAGTTTAATGACATAAAATCCCCTTTAAAGTCTTTGATGTAAAATTGAAGACAATGAGAATTTGGTTAAACTAATTTGTTATGTTCAAGTCATATAGGAAATAATATTCTATAAAATTACATTAAAGTTCAATTTCCTTTTATACCGAAGAGTGATGAGTTTTTTTTTTTTTAACCAACTCTTCTTAATTAATGCGAGAGAGAAAGGGGAGAGAGAGAGCTAAGGATTTACAAATACTTTCATGGTAACTACTCCGATGAGCTGCTTTCACTGGTTCCCAAACTCTATGAATTTAAGCGTTCTACTAGGCTGGCATCTTGCTCACACCCTTTCACTGTTGAAACTATTATATGTAGCCATCTCTTCTACTCCAATAGCTTCATGTCTTGCACCTCTCACCTGTGGAACTCCCTCCCCTTTTCCTGTTTCCCCTGATAGCTATAATCTCCAACTATTCAAATGTAATGTCAATCAACATCTCCAGATGCCTTGATCTATCCCCTATCCTTCTCTTCATCCTTTCCTCTATTACTCCTCTTTGCTCTCGCTACAACTCTCTGTAACCCTTTGCATGCTAGTGGCTTCCTGCCTTGCTTGGGGTGAAACGCTTAAAAAAAATAAAAATAAATAAAAAGATGTAGGAAAGAGAGAGTGATAGGATAATAGGAAGGTTGAGAGGGAGCAGGCAAGCAAAAAAAAAAAAAAAATGATAATAAAGAAAGCAAAAGAATGAGAAGGAGGGATTTCTATTTGCACTCAGTGTTCAATAAAAAAAAGTTTCAAGGTGAATTTAAGAGCAACTCTCATTGATTCTCAAATAAAGAAAACCGATACCTGCTGCTCGATCTTAGACGCAGTAGGAATATGACACAATTTCCAAGTTTTTTCATGCCCGATAGATAATTGCAGGAACCAACACTGCTATAACCTCTGGGAATTTTTCTTTTCTTCTATTGAGGAATAGTCATCAATATATTTATTTATATTGATACTATTCAAAATAGTAATTGATACTGAGTAAATGTTACTTAATTGATTACTGCTACTAACTTTGGTCACTTTTCTACTAACAGAGTAAATATTTCTGTTAAAAAGAAAGGAAATGATTTAACACTAATATTTTTTCAGTTGTTGTCCCAACAAGTTTCAAGAATTTTTACATTGAAAATTATCAATTAAAATACATGAAATAGCAATGGGCAGCAATTCATTCAATTATGATAGTGTGTGTGTATATATATATATATATATATATATATATATATATAATGACCCAAAAACTTTTGGGTCAGAGATTGGAAATTATGTCCTGTTGTGTATACATACTAAAAAGTTCCTTTTGAGTTTATATGAAGTGGGATGAAAACAAAGTATGTATATTTCATTTACCCCCACAATATATTTCCTATACACTTGCTTTTCCTCTCCTCAGCTTCTACCAGACCTCACATTGTGTGCTTATTCATTTACATTTTTTTTTAAATATAACATTCAAAAATTTTTAAAACAAAATAAAGTTTTAGGAAATCAATTGACTGAAATCACTTGAAGATACCAAAACTTTGAAACCAAGGTAGTGGAATTGGCTGATCTCCTAATCATATATATATATATATATAGTGTATACATCCAAAAACACACTAAAAAAAAAAAAAATGAGCATACATGATGAAAAAATGTCCAAAACTTAGAACAATGACTGTGACAATATATATATTTTTTTTTTTTAGAAAAAAAAAAAAAACAAGGATTTTTTTTTTTTTCCATCTATTTTAGAATTTTTCAAAATTTTGATTAAAAATCTTGTTTCTCTAGTGTCAATGGGTGCAATAGTTAGATGTTTTTGGATTTAATAAAACTTACGGGACAAATGAACAAAATTATATTTTTAAATTTTCTTATTTTAGAAAATCATTGTAAATATTATTTATTTTGATTTTTCACCCCCACCCTTATTTAATTTTATGAAATTTTTAAACAATTCTTTTTTTATAGCACTTAATGCTTATATCAGTTATAAAGACTTGTCCAAGGAGAATTTAAATCAAATGTTTTTGGTGAAAGTTACAGAAAATCTGCTCTGAATCATTAAATGAAAAGTGTAATAAAACTAAAACATTATTTGATTAGAAATGCTTCTCACTGCTTTTACAAATAAAATATATTATAGATACTGTTATCATAAAAAAAATTTTAATGAATAATTAATTTTTACAAGAATGGTTTTAATTTTTTTAAATCTTAGAATTTTAAGATGGAAATATTATAAATCATTCTAGATTTATAATATTTCCATCTTAAAATTCTGTATTTGTAACAATCAAGTGATATTGCTGTTCAATAAAAACTATATTTACTTACTATAAATAGAAAAGCTTACTGAAATTCAGCACAGCACCCCATATTTTAAAAAGAATTTTGATTTTTTTTTTTCTCAGAAAAGTATGCTTTATTTTTGAAAGATATTTTAATAAAGAGAATTATGCTGTGCTAACATATTTGTCAATATGAACGATTTTGATAATTTTACTGATAATAAAAAGAAAAAAAATGTGTGTGTGTATTCAAATGTTAGTGGATGCTCATGTTTGAAATAGATGCTCCAATTTTCTTTTAAACAGTATGTTTAAAATAAAATGGGGCATTTATTTCAAACACATCTATCCAGTTTGAAATAATAAAAATGTCTGATTAAAAATAAATGTATTAATTCTTATAAAGTACAATTGATAATGTCTTGAATTCAGAAGGGACACTACAGATTATATTAACATTTGTTTAACAAGTCAAATAATGTATGAGAAAATCACTCAAAAATAAAAATACCAGAATTTCTTTCTTCTTGGGATATCTGTTGATAATTGTATTATTTTGTCCCTGTGATAACAGTTTTTGTTTCCGCTGGATCATTACTTAACTTCCTGATCCAGGGCTGAACCCATAACCACTAGATGACAGTAAAAGTGATTTATAAAAAAATAAAAATAAAAAAATAAAATAATCATGTTAATGCAAGGTTAGATGAATATGGCGGGTAGGGTAGAAAAGACGAAAACTGGTCAAAGATCTTTCATGTGTTATTTTAATCTTGCTGTATGTGGCCTTGCATTGTCAAGGAAAAGAAAAAATAATTTTAAAATAATCCCAACATTATCAACATTAAATGTCTATGGAGAGATAAAACTTGGTTTAAGTACAGCTTTAAACCGAATGACAGACAAGCTGAGTTCTTTAAGTTCCATTATTTATTTTTGACCTTTTCACTTGCAAGTAGAATCTGAAAGAACAGAAATGAGCAATCTTTTTGTAATTTCTCTCCCTGACAATGATTATTATTACGTTCATTATCACTTATCTTGGCTTTTTATTCTGCTTACAGCTGTCTGGAGCCGCCATCCTATGTGTTGGTGTATGGATGGTTGTTGACCCGAATATTGTCAACCGGTTCGAGATAACTATAGACACGGAAGACCCTTACTTCAGGACTTCATCTTACATCCTCATTGCCTTTGGAGTATTTGTCTTCTTGGTTGGATTCTGTGGATGCTGTGGGGCGATCAGAAAAAGCAGATGTCTTCTTGGATTTGTGAGTATAATGGAAATTTTCTTTATAAGTTTCTTTTCTAAAAAAAAGAGCCTCTTTGCAAGCAAGAAAATCTTCTGACATAATTTTGTATAGTAATAATAAGTAGTTTCAAAGAGAGTATGGTAACCCCTACCACCTTGTGTACAGGAAGATATGTTCCAAGATCCATAGCAGATCCCTAAAACTGCAGATATTACTAAATCTCACAGACAATGTGGACATAGAAATCAACACTGCAGCAAGTGTTGATTTCTATGTCTACAATATTAATATTTGCTAAAACTCTTATATTGAGCCCTCCTCTCTATGAATATAGCAAATTTTAAGCAGTTATATACCCTAGTAGTCACAAAACCTAAGTAGATCTATTTTGATAGCTCTGCTTAAGAAGCCAGAGGCAAACAAATGTGAACATCAAACAATCAGTTTAATGAGCCATGTAACAAAACCTATCATCCAAATTCTGATGAATAGAACACATGGCAGAATTAGACCAGAAATAGGACAAGAACAATGGTGTTTCATTAAAGACACTGGAACAAGGAATGCAATAGTTATGCTCAGAATGATATCAAATACAAATGCAGAAGTATATATGCCAATGTTTTATAGATAATGCAAACGTCTTTGATAAAGTATGTCACAAAGAACTATCCTAGGTAAGCTTGATTTATTAAGGGAAGGATATTAGAGTAATTGAGAAGTTCTACTGGTAGCAAACCACTTATGGAGAGAAAATGAATTCAGTATATACAAAAATACAATGGGGTATAAAGGTAAGAATGTGTTTCTTTGGTTTGTTTTGTTTAACAGCATATCAACCACAATGGGTTATTTAATGCCCACAAGATTTTTATTTCTGGTAATATTTTCTTTTTTCAAATATTTACTGCTGATACTAATTTTTTTTTTTTTTTTAAAGTATTTCTGGTATTAAAATCTATTTTTACACTTTCATAATGTTTTGAGTCAGGTTGTGGGGTCAACTATTTGCCCATAGCTGGGACCCTAACAGGTGCTACCACCCCGGGTCAGGGTGGACCTGGGAACACCAGCAATTAAGAGGTTGTTCCACGCCCCTCAAAATCTCCTGATCAGAGGCCTTGCTGTTGGACATAGTTTATCGTCTTACCCAGGACACAAGAATGTGTTAGATTTATTCAACTTATACAGTGAGATGATCCTGAGAGAATAAGTCCTACCAGGATTCATTATTAACAGTCATAATCTTAACAATATAAGATATGCCAATGACACAGCATTGATAGCAGATACTAAAAAGAAACTACAGGAACTCTTAGAAAAGACATGATGAACAGCCCAAGATGCAAACAACGAATTGGAGATCCCAAAATCAAACAAGTAAAAGATTATAAATATCCAGGAAGTGTTTTAACAGAGGACAGAAAATACTACACTGAAATCCTGAAGGTGCATTTGGATAGTGAAAGATGTCTTCCAATATCTAAGCAAAGTATTAACATATTGGAAAATTTTGTTATAAACAAAAAGAACTGAACTATTATGTAATATCAGTCATCCTATAAGGCAGTGAATGCTGGACAATCTCTTTCCTTCTCCCGTACCCATAATCTTTAATATTCAGCTTGAAGGCACTTGGGTAAAAATAAAGGCTTTCCCAGTAATATAAGAAGAGTGGTCTGCAGACTTAGTGAATATATTTCAGGTTTCCTTGTGGTATTAGTATGTGTGTGCCATATAATAGATAATGGCTCAGAATGAGAAATTGGAGAGCTGAGTTCAAATCTCATTTGGGTTTGTTACATTCACTTATGGGCAAATACATAAAAGGTATAAATCTATTTCAGCTATGGATTAAATAGTATAACTTGTATATGGAAAAACTATTGTTATTCTCAGAAAGAAAAAAAATATATCCTTACAATCCAAAATATGATTCAGCTTTAAAATAAGCCCAAATGGTTTGAAACAAATCAATCTTATGGTATTTTTCTGTGTAATTTTTCTATTGTGTGGGATGAAAATTTCAACCAGCAAAAAAAAAAAAAAGAAAAAAAAAAAGAAGCCCTCTGTATCATTTGTTGCTGGGAGACAAAATCTGATTGATTTATCACTATCAGTGATATCCTGGTTCCTAGAGAAAGGTTGAAGTACAATAATAGCTTAATGGCTCTTGTCTGCCATTTGCATTATTCACATGCTCTGAAAACTATATAAAAGCAAACCATTTCTGGTGATTGAAGCATATTTTCTTTCTTTCTTTTTTAAAGCAAGTGATATGTGAGAAATGTTATGTTGGGATTAACTTTGTATTTAAAATTGTTTAAACCCATGTCTTATCAATCATACAATCAATATAAAACTTTCTCTATATTCATACATTATATCCTTACACTTACTGGTTGTGGCATTTAGCTGGATTGTTGAGCCAGCTCATATTCATTTGGATGTTTAGGATAGTCAGAGTTTCAGTGGGAATTTGGATTCATAAGCAATTCACTTTTAGGATAGTATGATCCAGTTTAAATTCAGATTGGTTGCCACCCTAAGCTATAGGACCCAGTCTATTTTACCCATAGCTGTGGTGGGAGAAGAGATAGATTCATACCTTTCCCAAGGGTATTAGCATATAAGTGAATATAATAAACTTGATTGGAATCTGAACTTCGCTTTCCAATTCCTCGATCCAAGCTGTTAACCATTACTCCACCAGGTCTCCATACATGATCATTATTCTATAGATTATGTAATCAATGTATGTCAGGGTCAGCTCAAGGTACTGGCAACTTGGGCAGTCACCCAGGGTGCCATCAAGTCCGAGAGCATCATTATGCCACAATGTTATGTGTTTGGAATCTTCCAAAACAAAAGCTTATAAAAACATACTTGCGGTCATCCAAGATATTAAATTATTTGGTTAATTTTGTCAATATAAAATGATCTTGTAAAGATTTGCAAATCTAAAGGCTAGAAAAAAATGTTCTAAGTAGAATAATTAATGTTTTCTTTAGCTTGTATTAAGTTGTATATTATAATAAACTTGTGTCGTAACTGAGTTATCAAAAACAACGGTAGTAAACCGGAATTGGTTTAACAAGTTTATTACCTTTTGATACAGGGAAATAATGTAGAACAGAAACTAAGGGATAAAATGTTTAGCTGTAAATGACTAACTTTTTTTCAGCAAAGGCTACTGCTGCTGCTCCTGATACTCCTCTTGATGTAGGAGTATTTTTATATCATTCATCTGATGGCAGTCCAGAAAATGTAGGGAAATATTCTCCCTCAAAATATTAAACCTAAATGGCAAACAAGGGATAAACTTCTACTCCTGTTCAAAAGACTATATATAGATTGAGTGCATATGCAAGTCTATCAGAAGAAAAACTATAATATATATATATATATATTTTTAATCAACTCACCCCCAGCAAGTTGATAATGTCACTAAAACTGAATGAGAATGTCGGGACTTTAGGAGAAGAAAAAGGAAACTCAATTGTAGTGAGGGAGAATATTTCCTTACAAACTGTTATAACTGAGTTATCATAAATAACAGTAGAAAACCAGAATTGGTTTAACAACAAATTTATTACCTTTTGGTACAAGGAAACGTAATGTAGAATAGAAACTAGGGAAGAGAATGTAAAGCCGTAAATGATTAAATGTTTTCAGCAAAAGCTACTGCTGCTCTTCTTGATATAGGAGTATTTTCTCTGGGTTTTGTCCGACAGCTGAGTCTGAACTTGTCGGGAAATAATCTACCTCACAACAACTTGTGAATACATTTTCAGTTTTCTGCTTGTGAAAATTTAAAAAGATTATACTTGTAAGGGTGCCGATGTTCAGCTTGCCTGGGGTGCTAGCAACCCTCTGGCCATCACTAAATGTATTTGTATTCAATTCTGTATATCAAGTCTGATTTTAGAGTCACATTTGAATTGATTTATTACTATGTATAGTTGTGCATAAGCTGCTTTGAATATAAGACCACTCCCTTATTTCATGTCAAGAAATGGGCAAAAATCCAAACTGATATCTATAAGCCAAGACAACTAATCAACAATGCGTTTTTTGTAAATTCCCTTGAATAGAGAATACCTTATGAAGTTTTAATCTGTTGATACCTAAAAACTTTAAGTGATCATTTGGAGCCTAGTTTGTGTTTCACAATTCCATTACACAAAGATCCCCCCTCCACCATTTCATCTGTTTTATAAAGTTTCAACAAGTTTCTCAAACTTTTAACTACTTTCTTATTGCCGACATCAATGACACCATCTTCTGAATGTAACAGAACTTTATTTAACATACTCATATAGTTCTAAGGTATTTGAAGCATGAGTTTCATTTAATTTGTATGTTCAACTTTTGGAATAAATCCATGATAATGGAGTATTTTTTATAAATATAAATCAATTGGAACATTTAACAAATGAAAATGAATTAAGAAACTGGCTGCTTACACACCAGGAGAAATTTAAAATAAAAGACTGCAAATATGCTGAGCAGACCTTAGTTACAGTTTCTGGTGGAGAGCACAATCTGTTGTCATCATCAGTTGAGCAAATCCAATACTTTCAAACTCTCGGTCATGATGACTTGTGACTTCATGCTAGTACAATGATTCAGCCAACATGTGATATGGTTTTCATGTACTGTTGATTGATATTGCCTTTCCCCCATGTTGATAAGTAGTAGACATTTCCTTGACAATTTGGCCACAGTGAGACTTGCACCCAAGCCTTCAGGTCACAATACTAATGTTATAACTATTCAGCCATATGTGTGTATAACAAAGAAAGAAATATATAAGAATATTTTAAAAATGATTACCGTTAGTTTTTTTTCCTGTTCATATATGATAAAATATAGTTTTAAGTTATGCTACATTTATGGGTTAAATTAATTTACAACTGAATAGGTTTTAAATATGTCATTATTTGTTGATAATTATTTTCTCAGATTTCTTTTGTAACCATTAATAGCCATCACAGATTGCATCCTTCAGTTTCAAA